TAAGAGGATTGTTAGTTCTTGCTTAGTCCACCTTCTGACATAATGAACAGTTAATCCTTGTACATCATCCTCCAGTACACTTAGCTTGCTTCCTTGATCTTCATCATTATCATTGTCATCATTGTTGATTATTACTGATTCAAAAATATTGAAATTTACTTTATTTGGAGAAGTAGTTACTGGAGTAGGATTTATTGTATGAGAAGAATGATTATTATAAGGAGTAAAAGCAGATTGCGAAGTAATTTTATTTGGAGAAGTAGTTACTGGAGTAGGATTTATTGTATGAGAAGAATGATTATTATAAGGAGTAAAAGCAGATTGCGAAGTAATAATAGCTGATGTAGAGCAAGATCCAGAGTTTGGAGAAGAAGATAGTAATTGTTTTTGTTGTTGTAATGTGGTATTGTTTGTGGTAGAAACCATGGTAGAAGGAGAAGGCAGTGTGTTAGGATGGTATTGTGAAGATTGTATGTAATGAGCAGTGCCACTGGTAGTTGTTGATGCATAAGATGATGACAACTCAATTGAACACTGTAATGTTTGTGTGATGTAAAATATTTGAAAATCTACAAAATGTTAAATAATAGCTTAATAGATAGAAAATTGTTAAACTTACTGGAATCTCAACATTATCCTTAGGTAATAAATTTTTTAGACATTCAAAAAGTTCTTGAGTGTCCAATGGTGTTGGTGGTGGTCCTGGTAGAATCTTCTTGATACTTTCAAACAGATCCTCTGTATCAATCCATTCATTAATGGTAGAAGATCTACATATATAGTATAAAATTTAATATGAAACTAGAGTGACGACGAGTGGAGGGCGATAACCACCACCACCATCCTTAAAAACACTTACCTATAGATTTCTTCTGCTTCTTGGTATTTTCTTCTTTTTCCAGTGGTGAAAGACATTTTGTTTATTTTTTTTAAAAAAATTTGTTGATCGACGCATACACGCTGATTATTTATCCAATTGGTTTTTTTTTTTGGTAGTAGTAGGACAGACGTCATAGGCAGAAGTTTGTCTGATTGGCTAATTTTGCCAATCAATTTCAATTGAGTTCGCATATTATTTATATAGTTT